GCGGGGCCGGTAAAGCACGAACGAAGCAAGATGGAACACGACGGGAATTCTTTCTCCTTCCGGTTCAGTAATAGTTGATGTTTGAACAGTTGGTACGATGTTGAAGAAACTGAAGTCAGTCGCTACAGGAGCCCGGCTGGAGCTTTGCCCTGCCCGGAACTTAGGTTTTCACACTTGGTAGTAGTAACGCTGGCATTCACGACCTAGTATCTTGGGTAGCTCTGTCTGAGCAGGGAGAACTGAGCTAGCAGATACAGTAGCTTCACTTCCATGCTGTTTAACCTTGGAAAGTATATATTGTCCAGTTCAATACAGGCTTTTTCCACGGGAGGTGAGCTCTTTCATGGTAGGATTTTAATCACTTGGCAGTAAAATCTGTCTTGAGTATGTTTTAAATTTATGATTTTGAAACCCCGTTCCGATGCCTTTGTATGTTCAGCATAATGGATGTGTGTATTGAAGTGGTATCTGAGATTTCAGAGTCGTTAAATCTGATACTGGTAGCAAAACTACTCAGAAGTGATCTTGGAACTGGATATCAACAGAAGACTTGGGATGTTGATGTGCAGTAGGGAATCAGAGAAGAAATTCTCAGTGTTTGAGAAGAGTCTGCTATGATTCTCAGGTTTTGGTACTCAGGATTATTAATATAGCTATTTTTCAGAGTGTTATTTTCAAATTGTAGCCCTGTGTTTTAGCAGACATATATGTACACATGTCTGTTTCAGATTGTTAAATGAAACTAGTTGAAACTGATTGCTAGTTGGAACTGATTTTAAAACTAAAAATGCTTTAAATCCACAAGCTTTCAGAAACTTTGTAATGAAGCACCGAGCTGAGACAAGTTCCAGACCTGAAGCAAGGAATCCATTGTGGCTTTCATTAAAATAAATACTGAGCATCACTGTGCTTTTGTAGAATGTTTTGTGTTCATTGGTGATGGTTTTGTTTGGTTTTGCAAGATTTTTCATCTTTTTCTTTAAGTTTTACTCTAAGCCACAACCACAGATTGCAAGGAAGTTTTTGTTTAAGAAGAGTTAGAAAAACGAAACTTAATATTGGGGTATGTACTTAATGGACATCTTAAAACTTTATTCACATAAAAAAGGAAAGATGAATTATTTTTCTTGCTATACTACTAAAACTTTGAAGTATTACTACTGAAACTTTGATCTCATGTTCTTCTTTTTCTTTGCAAGGTTGGAATTCATACCAAGGCATGGTTTATCGCTGGGATATTTCTACTAATGACTATACCAATATCTCTCTGGGGAATACTACAACACTTAGTCCATTATACTCAACCCGAATTACAGAAACCAATAATAAGGTAACATCTCCCATTTTACCTTTGTTACAAATGTTGAATTTAATTCAGACTAAAAATACTTCTAGTAATATTAAATGTTCTTTTGTTATTGTAACAGGATTCTATGGATGGTGCCGATTTACAGTTTAGACAGTGTAAGTGTTCTCTTACTGTTAACAGCTTAATAAAATTCTGTTTGCTGGGGGAGTGAGGGGAAAACAATATCACAATTAGCAGAAACTATGCTGCATGGAGAATTGTAGTCCCAGAAACGTCTGGGCATTCTTATTTTATGGAGTATGTCAGAAGCCTAGTTCTAGTGGTACTACGTTCTTCTTGTGGAGCTTGTGGGATTGCTTTTGCAAACCTTTTTTAACCTGGTCCTTGAGTATCATTTATGCCAGTTGTGGAAAGGGGCATGGCAAGAGCCTGCTTTTGGTCCTTCCATCTTCAGTCACAGCTGAACTGGAAAGCAGAGTGATCCAAGTACTGTCTCAAAATTCAGTGCCTTACTTTTCTTTCTCAGGTTATGCTTAGTGCTAAAATTCTTCCTTTTTGCTTCAGGGGGCAAAGGATAAGGTCGCACAAAAAAATTCACTCTCAGTACTTTTATGCCGTAGAATTGGCCATAGCAGATATGGTTCGCTTAAAGATGTCACGTATGGAGATGATTTCAGCCTGGGTTAAGCAACATACTAAACCTGCGGACTGTGCAGGATGTGTGTTTACATGTTGTCATCACCTCCTGACATTGCAGATATTTCTGTTTCCTCTGTAAAAGACGGCTTTCCAGGAACTTTTCCTTTGATTTTTTTTTTTTTTTTTTTTTTTTTTTTTTTTTTTTTTTTTTTTTTTTTTTTTTTTTTTTTTTTTTTTTTTTTTTTTTTTTTTTTTTTTTTTTTTTTTTTTTCTTTTTTTTTTTTTTTTTTTTTTATTCCTCCCCCTCATCTCTTGAGTGTTTCTGAAGTGTCATCCTTATGTATGCTCTCCATTTTTTATTTTTGAAAGACTGGGATTTAGAGAGATCTTGAGAGTGAAGGAGAGTGGCGAAGAAAACTTCACCTGTTTCCTGCTGGGAATATCAAGTACCTCAGGTTGATACTTCAGTTTGAAGTGCAGAATGTTCCTTTGGAAGAAAATTACTTCCTAAGTAAATGAGCTCTAGCCAGGCATTCAGGGACATTTCTGATATACTGAAATCTTTCTCCAGGCTCCTGGATCTTATGGCCTTTGCTGCATATGTGGTATCCTCCTAGAGTGCTTAATCTGAGCTGAACATAAAGTTCCCAGATTCAAACACTGTATTCTCAGTTTACTAGTTGCAGTATTGCTGCTTCCACAAAGGCGTTGCACTACCTGTCATCTCTAGTATTTCTTAAGTGTGTTGAGGGTGTGAAGCATCTTCCTTGTAGTTCTAATAAGGTCAGAGAAGGTACATTTGCTCTGCTAGAACCTAGGGAAGCAAAGTAAACTCAAAAGACCTGCCTCTTTAACATCCACACACCACACCCCCCTCAAATAAACAAAAATCAAAACCAGTAGGGCAGGTTGCACTGAACAGTTTCAGTGTGATACTCAAAACTGGAAGCTCTGACAGCTGATGCATAATCACAGTTCAGGAAAAGAAAAAAAAAACCCAAATTACCCAAAATCACTTTTCTGTCTGAAATTCTGGTTTAGAGGGATGACTACTACTTTAAGGCTAATCTTCTGCACTCTTCTGTATTTTTCAAACATGCCAGAACAAACATTTACATGTTATATACCAAAATAAATCGTCTTTATACTATCAGACTAAAAACATATTTTTCAAACCCATATTGACAATGAATATGTGAATCTCGGGGAAACAGTTCTATCTTGTCTCCTCCTAACAGGAGTAGGTTACTTTTAAATAAAGACTGAATTGTGTGGTCAAAGATACAGAGCATCTCCTGTGCAGTGCTTTAAGCATTTGAAGCAGCAGAGATGCAATCTGAAAATCTACTAGTATTTCTACAGAACGTTATTTTCTAGCTGTAGCATCACACTCTCATCAGCCAAATGCTTCAAGCCCAGTCTAATTAATGCCTGCTGCCTGATGGAGTATTGCTTGCTGAACTAGCCAGCCAGTGTTGTCATTGGAATCACTTTGGTCTTTCTTGCGTGTAATCTTTTGTGTACCTCTCTTCTTACAGTGGATAGCTTTGAAATACCCCAACATTGCAATATATGTGGATACATGTCGAGAATGCTATGAAGCTTATGTCATCTATAACTTTATGGTTTTTCTTTCAAATTATCTAACCAACCGGTATCCAAACCTCGTATTAATAATAGAAGCGAAAGATCAGCAGAGACATCTGCCACCTCTATGTTGTTGTCCGTCGTGGGCTATGGGAGAGTGAGTATATGATAACGTTTTACAATTTTAAGCTGTATAATCAGATACAAATGTTTTGTTTTCGTATTTAGTAGTATAACTTCTGTTGCTTGGGAGAGTTTTATGATCCCCTACTGAAAGCAGCTGTGAACCCGTTTCATTTAGCTGTAAAACATCCTATAAATCATACTTATTTCTAACATGCATTGACTCAGGTGGTGCTGACTATTTTTTTGAAAAGTATTGGAAAAACGTCCCCTTGAATTTGCCTGCGTTGCCATCGGAATGATATTTGCCAAAACCCTTCATGTAGAATCACTGGTAGACCAGATAGCCTACTGCTTTTACTTCCACAGGTGAAGGACAAAAGGCTGTATGCCCCTGAACTGTTTGTTTCTGCATGCTTAATCTGATAAGCATCTCTCTCAAGAGATTTTGATAAAGCTCTTTAAAATATTAAAGACAAACCATGAAAGTAAGTAATTCTTAAACGCCTTCAAGCATAGTGAAAATTGCATTAGTTTTCTTTAGCCCAGAAAGAAGTTTTCCATGACTAAAACGTGAATCATTGAATATTTCCTGTTAGGTATCTATAAGAGTCTAGGTCTTTTCTGTAATGTGCGTATACACACTATAACTGTAGCACCTGAAGTCCTGGAAGCAGAAGTTGAAATTACCATGAAATAAAAATTCAGTTTAGTGAAACTCCTGAGAACAGGAAACTTCCATAAATTAATTGTCTTTAAATTCACGTACAATGAATTTTGTGTTTCTCTTGCAGAGTTTTATTATTTAGATGCAAACTGGGTGTTTTGCAGTACACTGTTGTCAGACCATTTACTACCATTATTGCTTTGTAAGTACGCTCATAAATAATTAATACTGATCTTCAGGATGTAATTTTGAGTTACGCTGGAAAGAGTTTTCATGCCCTTTTTATTGAACTGAGGCAGTTTGAAAGCAGATTGGTTGTGTTATATGCTAAATGCATCCCGGCAATTTGAATCAACCTATGATTTCTTTATGACTTCCCTATAGCAAATGACTATTTGCAGAATTGAAATAAATACTTAATGCCTGCTGCTGATGGCAGTGGGAGAGAATGTTGATGTGGAAAAGACATTTTAATGATCTCTTAATTTTTAGAGTCTTTTTTTTACTTCTCGCTTTTCTCCCTGGCTTCAACAGTTGGTATTTTTAAAGTCAGGTTCATGGAACTTTTTAAATTTTATTAAACTTCACGTGTGACAAGCCTGACTGTGCCTTCATACGTATCATATAACCTGTTGTTATAAAGGAATAGCAGGCAGTTAATGCATGTTGGTGCTGAAAGCTTAATTTCATGAACTTTGTATTGATGGTCATTCTGTGAGACTGTGGAAAAAATTGCTGCTCCCAAAGAATATCCATATAAATATATATATTGGCTGTAGGTCTTCTAACGGTTAAAAGCAAAACAGTTTTTTTTTAAAAAAGATGTTTAATTGTTGAATTAATCGAGCAGTGGGATATGTTAACCCTGCATTCAGACGCAATTTCGTCTATGGAAAATACAGTATGAGCTTCCTACACCATATGCTGTTGGAAAGTGATTTTTGTGCATATCCCCAATGTCTGTATTTGAGTTCCAAAAGAGATTTTGGATTCTAGCAGTTGATGGATGTAATGAAGGTACAGCACTTCAAGAAAGTGATCTTCTGCTGTGTAGTTTGTAACTCTAAAAATTCTTTCAGAATTTGTGAACTAGTGGGAGTGTACGATGAAGGAAATTTCAGCTTCAACAATGCTTGGACTTACTTGGTTATACTTAACAACATGTCACAGCTAGTGAGTATCAAAAGTGCATCTTTCTGCTCTTTTAACCTATTGGTTTAGTATTGTATGAGGCTTCTGTGTGAACTATTGACAGGAATTTTATTCATGTCTGGCAGTTCTTATGGGTAGACTATCACTGTAAATCAAAGTTGCTATCTGTTAAATATTATATGTGCAAAATAGTAGGAAAACAGATAATCGAAATCCTTTCGTATTTTTAACTATGAAGCTCCACAAAGCAATAAAGTGTCCCATCTCTCTACCCTAAACTATTTGATGAGCGAGGTCGTGTGGCCCAAGCGTGTTAGAGCTGCAGACTTGCCTCTGCAGAAGAGATGACTTCACCCACTCCTGTAGCTTCCTCCCAGCACACACACAAAGAATCAGCACTAAAAAAAAAATACGTTAAAAATACTGTGTGATAACAATATTGACAGGAAAAAAAATGGAACACTGTATTCAGTGCTGAGATTCTGGCCTGCCTTACACCTTGTCTTGTTGGTCCAGCTGCCAGATGATGTCAGAGTAAGGGTAAGGTGTCAGCCCCTGCACTTGAAAGTTTCATTTCTGGAGGTCAGGGATTGCATTTAGTGGCTTGCTGGGAATGCAGAGGAATCATTTTCTGCTTGACCTAGGGCATGTTATACATGAGCTGTTGCAAGAAGAAAGAGCAGCAGCTCTGGCTCCGTGCTACTTAGCCTTCTAGCCTCTAAGCTTCTTCCTTCTCTTGGCCACAGCAGTAGGACTCAGAGCACCGTAACATCCCACCTGGAAAGGACATCCTCCTCCTACTGCCACCCCTGTATTTGATGGGTGGCTGTCGCAGAAGGTGTTCTAACTTCCGTCTGCTGTGACAACGGTCCCAACAGCAGAATGTACTACTGCATGTACTGGTTGCCATGATTGCTTAAAGAAACTTGATAGTAAGAGGCTAGGAGAATGTGTGTGAAAAGGTGAGATAGATTCCTTAGGCTTGCCTGTACATCAGTTTGGTTGCTTGCAGTTGTCATTAATAGGAAACACGTTCAGATTTGCAGTGAAGATTGCATTCCTTGCCTCATCTCTCATAAAGAGACAACATTTGAGGTGTTCCTAACAGAAGGCTGAAAGAACATGTGCCTTTTGTTCTATTTTCCCTAGCTTGGCATTGGAAAGGTTTTATGGGACCTTCCTATGCTTTGCTTTAGTGTGTAGACAGATGACCTTTGTCTGCCAATACCATGCATTTCAGAAATACAGTTCCAGGCAAAAAAAGAGGTCTGCTTTAAAACAGTAAATTAAAGATTGCATAAATTCAGAGCCACTTGTCTAAAACAAATAGCCTTTTAAGTTTGTGTTGTGCTGTGATATATTCTTTAACTGAAGAGGTGCTGTAAAACAATTCCCTCACAAAATAAACAAGGATTTTGAAAGCTTTTCTTTTTTTTTTTTTTTTTTTTTTTTTTTCTTCCTTTCCCCATTTTCTTTTCCTTGTTAGTTTGCTATGTATTGTCTGGTGCTGTTTTATAAAGTGCTACGTGAAGAACTGAACCCTATCCAACCTGTTGGCAAGTTCCTCTGTGTGAAGATGGTAGTTTTTGTTTCTTTCTGGTAAGTGAATTATTTACTCATTACTTCTTGCTCTCAGGGTGGATCATAAAAAAGCCAAAAAAGCTGTATTGTTACTGAGGTTAGAGCCCTCAAAAAATCTACCCACGATCTTAGTGAAGTGTTGTGAGGGGGAAAGGGTGTTTGTGCATTGGACACAGTAGTCCTGTTCACTTGAGATTGTTTATCAGACTTGGTATTTTGTAAGGTGATGCTCAAGAGCATAATTTATTTTAGAATCTTCACATGCAATTATTTCAAAAGAATTTTTATTTTTATTTTTTTACTTTTTAAAGTAAAAAAGCCAACTTTTTTTTCAAAGTCAGTGACTATAAGTTAACCATGAATTACTATTTAAACATAGCTCACAATTGGCTGCTAATGAGTGAGTGCATTTGACTATCTGAACATTTCACTGCGGGCTGCAGTTAAACCCTGAAAGAGAAGCAACTTGTTCTAATAACTAACTGAAACAACAAACTCTTTGATTGTTCTTGGTTGATCTTTAGGACCACGGATGAATGACATCTCTTTTAAGTCTGTTTTCTTCCTCTTAAAATCTAAATACATAAACAGTATCGGTTTTGTAAGGTTCTTCCTATGTATACATACAAACGGGCCTCGTTTACCAGCTTTGCTTGCAGGCTTTTTGGCACTACTGTTACAACAACAATAATAATCTGTTAAAATAATCTTTATAGGCAAGCTGTGCTTATTGCATTGTTGGTGAAAGTTGGCGTTATTTCTGAGAAACACACCTGGGAATGGCAAAGTGTGGAAGCTGTAGCCACAGGCCTACAGGTAGGAGCAGACAATGGCTTCTTAGGAATGGCTGTATGTAGGGTGACATAGCTGATCTCAAGCAAATATTGTCATGCCCACTTTAATTAACACAGGCTAGATTGGTACTGAATTTATTATAACTTGGGCTAAGTTTCAGCCAGTCATCCTAAGTGAGTTTCATACTCAGCACTTTTATTTCCATGTGTTGGGCAGAAGGAATGTATCCCAGTTAAATACTTCGTTGGATATCCTTGCATTTCTTGCAAGAATTCATTGCAGAGCTGCTGCTTGTTCAGTATCTGCTTCCAGCAAGTCAGTCCCTCAGACAAGGACTGATTCCAGTATGAATATAGTACACGTGGCTCTCTGAAGCCTGCCAAGAGTATCCTGCCTCTGGTGGAAAAATAGATGATGCCAGTATCCCCTGGCAATTGCAGTCTTTCAGTTACAGAAGAAGCCCAGAGCTATCTTTCTCCAGTTATGAATGATTAAGTTAATATTTTTCTCTTGTTGCAGGATTTTATCATTTGTGTTGAGATGTTCCTGGCAGCTATTGCACATCACTACAGTTTTTCCTACAAACCTTATGTTCAAGAAGCAGAAGAAGGGTCGTGCTTTGATTCTTTCCTTGCAATGTGGGATATTTCTGATATAAGGGCAGATATATCGGAACAGGTTCGAAATGTTGGTAAGTAACAGGCCGATTCGAATAATCTGTTAACAGCAGGTGTATTTCCAGCTTCTTTTTTGTTTGTTTAGTTGTTTGGTTTTGTTTAATTGGAAAAACATCCTTTTATTTATTATAGAATCATAGAATGGTTTGGGT